TTCTGATTTAAACCATTTGTTATTTGAGAGCTCACATTTGTAATTTCCATTCTTTTAAATTTGCTGAGGCACATCTGATGGCTCAGAATATGGTCTATCTTGGTGAATGCTTCAAGTAAGCTTAGAAAGAATCTGTATTCAGCCATTGTTGGATGAAGCATTCCACAAATGTCAATTGTATCCAGATGATTGATGGTACTGTTGAGTTCAACTATATATATATATTTTTTAAGGTTGAGAAAAGTTCATTTTTGAGGAATACTTTTTTTTGCTTTTGTTTAATAAATATAAATTTCCAAAGTACAACTTTTGGATTATAGCAGTCCCCCCGCCCCATAACCTCCTTACCACCACAGACCATCCCATCTCCCACTCCCTCTCCCATACCATTCTTCATTAAGATTCATTTTTTTTTTTGACAGGCAGAGTAGACAGTGAGAGAGAGAGAGACAGAGAGAAATGTCCTCCTTTTTGCCGTTGGTTCATGCTCCAATGGCCGCCGCGGCCGGCGGGCACGGCCGGCGCATCGCGTTGATCTGAAGCCAGAGCCAGGTGCTTCTCCTGGTCTCCCATGGGGTGCAGGGCCCAAGCACTTGGGCCATCCTCCACTGCACCCCCTGGCCACAGCAGAGAGCTGGCCTGGAAGAGGGGCAACCGGGACAGAATCCGGCGCCCCAACCGGGACTAGAACCCGGTGTGCTGGCGCCACAAGGCGGAGGATTAGCCTAGTGAGCCACGGTGCCAGCCAAGATTCATTTTTAATTATCTTTATATACATAAGATCAACTTAGTACATACTAAGATTTCAACTGTTTGTACCCACACAGACACACGAAGTATACAGTACTGTTTGAAGACTAGTTTTACCATTAATTCTCATAGTAAAACACATTAAGTGCAGAGGTCCTACATGGGGAGCAGGTGCACAGTGACTCCTGTTGTTGATTTAACAATTGACACTCTTATTTATGACATCAGTAATCACCTGAGGCTCTTGTCAGGAGCTGCCAAGGCTATGGAAGCCTCTTGAGTTTACCAACTCCGATCTTACTTAGAAAAGGCCATAGTCAAAGTGGAAGCTCTCTCCTCCCTTCAGAGAAAAGTACCTCCTTCTTTGATGGCCTGTTCTTTCCACTGGGATCTTACTCACAGAGGTCTTTCATTTAGGTTATTTATTTATTTATTTATTTTTTTGCCACAGGTCTTGGCTTTCCGTGCCTGAGAAACTCTCATGGGCTATTTAGTCAGATCTGAATGCCTTAAGGGCTGATTCTGAGGCCAGAGTGCTGTTTAGAGCACCTGCTAGTCTATGAGTCTGCTGTGTATCCTGCTTCCCATGTTGGATCGTTCGCTCCTTTTTAATTCTATCAGAGTTCAACTATGTTTTTACTGAATTTCTGCCTGCCAGATCTGTCTATTCTGATACAAGGAGGTTGAAGTTTCCAACCAGAAAATCTATTTCTCTTCACAGTTTTGTAAGTTTTTGACTCATGTATTTTGATGCTGTCTTACTAGGTATCATATACATTACAGATTGCCATGAGTTTTCCGAAAATTAAACTCTTTTATCACTATGTAATGATCCTCTTAATCCCCAGTAACTTTCAAGGTTCAGAAATCTACTTTGTCTAAAATTAATATAGCTACTTCACATTTCTTTTTATTAATGTTAGGATGGTATATCTTTCCATATCCCTTTATCAATATGTGATTTGTATAATCTATAACTAGGTCTTGTTTTTTGTTCTACTCTGACATATATTTGATTTTCTGAAGTTTGACTAGGATATGCCTACATGTAGACCTTTCACTTGTTTGTTTTACATTTATCCTGTTGGGTGTTCTGTGAGTCCCTGAACTTTTGATGTGGTATCTCACATTCATTTGGGGATATTCTTAGTCATTATTGATTCACATATGTTTTAAGTTCATTTCTGCTTCTCTTCCAATTCATGTATGTTCTACCTTTTGTAGCTGTTCCACAGGTTTCGGATATTCTATTAATTTTTCAGCTTTTTTCTCTCTTTGTTTTCAGGTTTGGAATTTGTTATTGACTTATTCTTAATCTCAGAGACATTTTCGGCTATGTTCTTTCCATTAATGAACCCATCCAAAGGCATGCTGCTTTTCTGTATTTTTAATCTTTAGCATTTTTTTCTTCTTACAGTTTCTCTCTGTGCACAATATCTATATGTTATCATGTTGTCTACTTTTACCAGCTTAGCATATTAACCATAGTCTGATAATTTTAACATCCATAGTCTGTTATAGGTGGATTTTTCTTTTTTCCTTTTAATATATCTTCTAAATTTTAATTGGAAGGTGGGCATAATCTACTGAGTAAAAGGGCCTTTGCTAAGCAAACTTATAGTAATATTTTTGTAGGGAAGGGTGTGTGTGTGGGGGGGTATTCTATAGTGCATGACTAGGTCCTATGCCCAAGGACTGTGAATTCAGTACAGGATGGCCAGAGCAGGCTGGAGTTAATTCCTTCCTCCTGTGTAGAAGACCAGAGAGGCCTGGAACTAGGTATTTTCCTTCCCCTAGGTTGGTTAGGCTCTTGTAAAATTCCTGTAGGTTTGACTCTGGTGAATGGTTTCTCTTGAGGGCTGGCCCTGTTAAGCACATAATGCCATGCTCTCTTTCACAGTGACTACTACCTCCCTCTGCTAGTTGGCTCCAGGGGGGGTAAAACTTATAAAACTGTGGACCTCCCCATCCCACAATGGGGCCTCTCCTGGAGTTTTTGACTCCAGATTTGTTCAGAATGAGTTTCAGCCAACTTGCAATTACAACTCAGATTGTACTACTCAGTCACTCATTCCCACAGGAGTTTCTAATCCTTTAAGTGAGAAGCCTCTCTGTCCACCTGTCTTTCTCCAAAATTTTAGGAGGGTCATTTGCTCTATGACCTGTTTCTCTCAAGGATTTAAGAAACATTCAATTTTCACCCTTTATTTGTTGTCAGGGCAGAGTAATGACTTCTAAGCTCCTTACATGTGGGACTAGAAATCAGAACTCTCCAGAATATTATTTTTGAATCATAAATTTCCAAAGACTGCTAACTTTATAAAGCTGGTAATAAAATTTTGAGAAATTCTGGCCCATTAAAATAATTTTCCTGAAGAAACTGCAGCCTGACCACAGGTGAAAACCTTTGGTGACCAATATATTTCCTTCTCACCCTTTGGCCCTGGCCCTACTCCTAACATCCACACTATAGAAACTGCCTACCAAGTAGACAGGAGCATAGGAACATACATGTTAGATCCATGTGCAGAAAATCTATTTCCAAAGAAGTCTAATCTCTTACGAAATATGAGGATCACTGAAGTTCAGAGAAAAAGTTAGATTCAGGGGGCCAGCGCGACGGCTCACTTGGTTAATCCATCGCCTGCGGCGCCCCATATGGGCACCAGGTTCTAGTCCCGATCGCTCCTCTTCCAGTCCAGCTCTCTGCTGTGGCCCTGGAAGGGCAGTGGATGATGGCCCAAATGTTTGGGTGCCTGCACCGCATGGGAGACCAGGAGGAAGCACCTGGCTCCTGGCTTCAGATTGGCGTAGCTCTGGCCATAGCAGCCATTTGGGGGGTGAACCAATGGAAGGAGGACCTTTCTCTCTGTCTCTCTCTCTCTCACTGTCTAACACTATCTGTCAAATAAAAAAAGAAAGATTCAGGGCCTTCAAGATAGTATTGATTTTAAAAAAGATTTATTTATTTATTTGAAAGTCAGAGTCACAGAGAGAGGGAGGGAGAGGGAGAGAGTTCTTCTATCTGCTGGTTCATCCCCAGATGGCCATAACCCAGTGCAAAGCCAGGCCAAAACCAGGAGCCCAGAGCTTCATCCAAATCTTCCACATGGGTGGCAGGTGCCCAAATACTTGAGCCATCCTCTGCTGCCTTTCTGAGGCGATTAGCAGGGAGCTGGATTGGAAGAGGGGTAGACTGGACATGAACTGGCACCCATATGAAATTCTGGAGTTGCAGGCAGTTTTACTCACTCTGCTACAACCCTGGCTCCTCAAAATAATATTGTACACTAACTAAAAACTAATCTTTACTGATGAAAAATCAATGAGTAAAATTTGCTTTCAAAAGTTTGAAGTTAGAAAGAAGCAAATAAGAAAATACAATTTAATTAAAAACAAAATTGAGTATTTTAGAAAATGTTACTTATCCTTCATCATATTTAGTTTTGTTCTCTACAGGCTTGATACTTCTTGAGGTCAAAATATCATTCTCTTTCTTAAGTTTAATCAAATAGAATAATTATTATTAAACAAGGAAACATACAAAAATATTTAGTGACAATGAAAGGATTTAAAATTTTCATGAGATTGGGCTAGTGCAGGAGCATAGTGGGTAAAGTCGCCGCCTGCAGTGCCCACATGCCATGTGGGCACCAGTTTGAGTCCTGGTTGTTAAACTTTTGATATAGCTCCCTGTTTGTACACCTGGGAAAGCAGTGGAAGATGACCCAAGTCCTTGGGCCTCTGCACCCATGTGGGAGATCCAAATGAAGTTTCTGGCTCCTGGCTTCAGCAAGACCCAGTTCTGGCTGTTGCAGCCAATTGGGGAGTGAACCAGTGGATGAAAGACCTTTCTCTCTCTTTGTCTCTCCCTTCCTCCCTCACTCTCTGTAACTCTGCCTTTTAAATAAATAAAATAAATCTTTAAAAAATTTTTCATGGGAAAGCAACTTTATAGAACTCTTTGCATGGCAGCTGCTGTTTTACAATTTTAGGCCTAATTTTAATAAGAACCTGCATATGGCCAGGAGGACAAAGTTCTTACTACTTTAAAAATAAGTGTCAAGGTGGTTTGTAAATAATAATCTTTAATTTATGCTGCTTCTAATCCCAAAAATTTAACATAAAAAGGCATGCAAAGATGAAACTATAGACTTTTTAAAGCATTATTTTGCTTTTGCTTTTGAAAAGTTCAAGGGAATATTTACTTTGTCCATACAGATTCCATTTAGATTTCTTATTTCACATACCATTTGTAATAAATTTATTCAATGTTCCTTTTAGAGGACTAGGAATGTGCATTCTCATTTTCTTCTGTGGTTTTGTTTCCTCTGTTTTTGACAGGATAGTTTCTTCATATACATTACTGTTAGGATCACTGAGGATCTGAAGTAAAACAAGGAGATTTTTTAAAAGTGTACTAAAATCACTAAATCTCATAACTAAACTCATATTATACTGTTAACATGGAGGATTTCACATTCATGATCTATACTGGCAGGAATTTGGGGTGTTACAGCAGTACAGTTTGCATGGTACCTTGATTTAGCGTTTTACAGGCTGCAGTCTCCATCATTTTCATTTATCATTTATTGTAGTATAATGCACTGTTGAAAGTTCATGGAAAAGTGGAATTAAGAGATCAGTTTATTCTGATGTAAAAATTTATGAAACCCATGCACAGTTTTTCATGATATGCATTTTCCAAGAAATCCTGAAGATATTTTGGATAATGAATAGTGTGACATAGTAGTTATGTGTTCAGTATGGATCCCAAAGATTATTCACCAAAGCAACCTAAATGGCAGACCTGATTTCATTTCATATGAAAACTTAAATAACTGAAGGAAAAATAAGAAAAACAGGTCAAGTCTTCAGAAATTCAAGCATGCTTTCACTAATATTCTTGATAATACATTTAGATAGTTTATAGGTATATCTCATTCTTCCAGGCCTTAGAATGGTAGTCAGTTTACTTACAAAACTGTTCAATTGGAAGAAAAAAAGAAATTGATGAATTGTGAGAATTTGTGAGTATTTTTTTTTGGATTGTGAGAATATTGAGAAGTTTCTCCCAATGCAAAAAACAATTACAACTTATAACAACAAAAATCTGGGGTGGATTTAATTCTGGAATAGGTATCTCCAAATCCTGTGCCTCCACACACCAATATTTTGAGTGTACTGATAAAATTATGAGTACAGTTGGAGAGAGAACATCACACTGATATAGGAAATAAAACAAAGATTACAGTGCACTGACAGATTAAGGCAGGGAAAAGTTAACACTTAGTAACCAGGGAGATAGAGAAACCATAGCAGATGGTGGCTAAAAATAATTTAACTCTTTAAAGTCAAAGGTTTTCAAACCTGATCATAACTGAGCGGTTGCAGTGCTGCTGTAGAGGCTTCTGAAAATTCTGTTACTGTATAAAAGGGCTAAAGACACAATGACAAAATTTTATTAGGGTGGATGAAAGGTAATACACAATAAACATGTTAAGTTTTATTATTTCAGAATTTTCAATAAGTTGACAGATTAAAATGGAGTCTTCACAGCTAAATAAGTAGTTGGAGGTAATGCTGAATATTTAAAATACTTTTAAAAGGGACTTTATTGGCCCTTAAGAACTGTATAAATCTCTATTTTTTAAAAAATAAGCAATTTGTATTTCTAAATATAAGCACCTATTATTAGCAAAAACTAAACCAACAAACGGTTTACTGACTTATTTTAAACACTTACAAAAAAATGCAGTTCCTCAAATACACAGAACATTTTAATAAATTTGGAGTTGTCTTTACATCTTTGTATCTATTAGTTTAAATGACCACGTTTTTTCTAGACACACCGAAAACTAATAAGCAATGTTTCTCTTATTCCTAACATCTGACTATATTAGCTATAAAATACTCTGCATTCAACATTTTTACATCTGTTCCATCCTTCGTACTCATATCAAAACTCATTAAAACTGGCTATTTCAAATTACTTCTTTACATTTTTAAGACATATAACAGGAAACTAACAGCAAATATTACAAATGAATTACAAGATCAGATGGATTTTAATTTTCTCTGTCTCTTATCTGCTAGTTCACTCTCTAAATGCCTACAATAGCCATGGCTGTCCTGACTGAAGCCAGGGGCAGAGTACTCAATCTGTCTCCAACACGAGTAGCAGGAACCCAACTACAGGAACCATCACATGCTGACTCCCAAGTTCTCCAGAAACTGGAGCCAGGAAACAAACCCAGGCACTTGATACAGGATGTGGATGTCTTGACTGGTGTCTTAACCACTGGTCCAAGTGCCCACTCCCAGACTGGTTTTTATATCACATATTACATTAGAGTTTTAAGACTTTTACCTCAGTGGATGTAGATGTTACAAAGTCTTTATTATCCAAAGATTCAGTTTTTGATTCTGTGGTGTGCATGCTAAGATCTAGAAGAAAAATAATTTGTAAGTAAAAAAACCAAAAACAGGATGACACATCCACATGAAAACAAATATGGTTATGTGACATTAATGTTTATTTTTATCATAAAGCTTTATCAGTCAATCAGATAAGGTTACAGCAAAAACAGCTCCAAATATTCATTTTAAAAGTTATTAACCCAAACCATGTGCATGTTTTCAAATTATCATATAGTAATTTTTTTAAATTTTTTTTTATTTGACAGGTAGAGTTATAGACAGTGAGAGAGACAGAAAGGTCTTCCATTCGTTGGTTCACTCCCCAAATGGCCGCCACAGCCGGCGCTGCACTGATCTGAAGCCAGGAGCCAGGTGTCAGGTGCCTGTTCCTGGTCTCCCATGTGGGTGCAGGAGCCCAAACACTTGGGCCATCCTCCACTGCCCTCCCAGGGCCACAGCAGAGAGCTGGACTGGAAGAGGAGTGACCGGGACTAGAACCCAGCACCCATATGGGATGCCGGCACCACAGGCGGAGGATTAACCAAGTGAGCCACAGCGCCAGCCCCATCATATAGGAATTTAATATATCCAATAGTTCATAATAATGAGCAAAGTTTCAAAAGAAAATATCAGAAACTGTAGTCCTTTTATTTTGTGGACAGAACTAGAATTCTGAGATATTTTCTACCACTGATTTTCTCTATCTTCAATCACATTCCTGAATGAGACTTCAAAAGATTTTAAATGAAATACGAAGGTTGGACAGCTATTGGTACTAGATATACTTCCCTGCCATAAGAAATTATTATTTCAAATAATCAGCATAATGATGCAAGTTAAGGAAGTAGAAAAGTAAGAACAAACCAAAGACCAATTTAATATAATAAAAGAAATAACAAAGATCAGAGCAGAAAGAAATGAAGAAAAAATATGTAAAACCTCAAGGAAAGGCCGGCGCCGCGGCTCACTTGGTCAATCCTCCACCTGCGGCGCCGGCACCCCAGGTTCTAGTCCCGGTTGGGGCGCCAGATTCTGTCCCGGTTGCTCCTCTTCCAGTCCAGCTCTCTGCTGTGGCCCGGGAAGGCAGTGGAGGATGGCCCAAGTGCTTGGGCCCTGCACCTGCGTGGGAAACCAGGAGGAAGCACCGTGGCGGCCATTTGGGGGGTGAACCAACGGAAAAGGAAGATCTTTCTGTCTCTCTCTCTCTCACTGTCTAACTCTGCCTATCAAAAAAAAAAAAAAAATCAAGGAAAAACAGTAGTTTTTGAAAAGATAAACAAAAGTGACATACTTACAGCTAGACTAACCAAAAAAGAAAAAGTCCAAATAAAATCACAGAAGTTACAAGTAGACATTAAAGCTAATACCTCAGAAATAGAAAGGATTATTAGTGATTATTATGAATAACTGTATGTCAACAAATTGGAAAATCTAGAAGAAATGGATATATTTCCAGATACTCCAAATTTTAACCATAAAGAAAGAAAAACCTGCACAGACTAGTAACATGCAATGAGGCTGTATCAGTCATAAAAGTCTGCAAAGAAAAGCCTAAGACTGACTGTTTCACTGCTAAATTCTAGCAGTTTTTTTTTTTTTAAGATTTTATTTTTTATTTGAGAGGTGGTTACAGACAGAAAGAGGGAGAGACAGAGAGAAAAGTCTTCCATCTGCTGGTTTACTTCCCAAATGGCTGCAATGGATGGAGCTGGATGGATAAAACTCCAGGAGTCAGGAGGTTCAAATAGCACATGGTTGCTAGGGCCCAGGCACTTATGCCATCTTCTACTGCTTTCCCAGGCCATATCAGAGAGCTGGATCTGAAGAGCACCTGGGATACAAACCAGCACCCATATGGAATGCCAGTGCTATAGGCAGTGGCTTAGCCTATTGCACCACAGTGCCAGCTGCTCTAGAAAAATTTTAAAAAAAGAACCCATACTTATTCTCTATCCCCTGAAATTTTAAGAATGTTTCCAAATTTATTATATGAGGCTAGTATCACTGGACAATACTCATCAATCAAAGCAAACTATAGACCAACACCCACGATATAAAAGTCCTCCAAAAAAAAAAAAAACAAAAAACATGCACACTGAATCCAACAGAACATCAAAAAGACCATACGCCACAATCAAATGGGATCATCCCAAAGATACAAGGATGGCTCAACACATGTAAATTAATAAGTGAAAAACATTACATAGGTGGCCAGTGTTGTGGCACAGCAGGTTAGGCTGCCACCTATGACACCGGGATCCCATGTGGATGTTCCACTTCTGATCCACCTCCCTGCATATTTTCCTGGGAAAGCAGCAGAAGATGGCCCAACTACTTGAGCCCCAGCTACCCACATGGGAGTTCCAGGCTCCTGGCTTTGGTTTGACTCAGCTCTGGCAGTGGCAGCCACAAAGTAAAGGACAGAAAACATATGATCACTTCAATATATACGGAAAAGTACTAGATAAATTATGTATAGAAGATATGTGTCTCAATATAGTAAAAGCTATCCACAAAAAACTATAGCCAAGATAATAAATACTGAATGAGAAAAAGCTGAAAGGGTTTCCTTTAAGATTTGAAATAATAGGAGGATGTCCATTTTTTACCACTCTTACTAAATGTGGTAATGGGGGGCCGGCGCTGTGGCGCAGTGGGTTAAAAGCCCAGCCTGCAACGGCGGCATTCCATATGGGCACCGGTTCGAGTCCCAGCTGCTCCTCTTCCGATCCAGCTCTCTGCTATGGCCTGGGAAAGCAGCATAAGATGGTCCAAGTCCTTGGGCCCCTCACCCACATGGGAGACCTGGAAGAAGCTCCTGGCTTCTGGCTTTGGATCAGCTCAGCTCTGGCTGTTGCAGTCATTTGGGGAGTGAACCAGCAGAATGGAAGACCTCTCTCTCTCTGGCTCTACATCTCTCTGTAACTCTGTCTTTCAAACACACAAACAAAAAATGTGGTAATGGGAGTGTTAGCCTGAGCAATCAGCTAAGAAGAAAAAAAAAAGGCACGCAAGCAGGAAGAGTGAAAGGTCAAATTATACTTGTTTGCATATGACAACTTTGTATGTAGGAAAATTTAAAGACTCCAACAAAAAATTTAGAATTGAGAAATTCAGTAAAGCTGCAGGTTACAAAAAACAACATAAAAAATCAGTTGTGATGGAGCCTGTGTTGTGGTTTAATAGGTGAAGCCACTGCCTGCAATACTGGCATCTCATCTTGGCACTGGTTCAAGTCTCACTCAATTTTTTTTTTTTTTTAGATTTATTTTTTCCATGAAAGGCAGAGTTAGAGAGAGAGAGAGAGAGAGAGAGAGAGAGAGAGAGGTCCTCCATACACTGGTTTACTACCCAAACGGCCACAATGGCTGAAGCTTGGCTGAGCCGAAGCCAGGAGCCTGGAGCTTCTTTCAGGTCTCCCACATGGGTGCAAGGGCCTAAGGACCTGGTCCATCTTCTACTGCCTTCCCAGGCCATACCACCAAGCTGGATCGGAATTGAAGCAGCTGAGACTCGAACTGGTGCCCATATGGGATGCTGCACTGCAGGTGGTGGCTTTACCTGCTCTATCAAAGTGCTGGCCCCACTTCTGATCCACTTCTGATCTAGCTCCCTGCTGATGTGCCTAGGAAAAGAAGTGGAGGACAGCCCAAGTCCTTGGGACCTTGCACCTGTGTGGGAAACCTGGATGAAACTCCTGGCTCCTGGCTTCAGCCTGGCCCAGCTCAGGCCATTCAGGGAGTGAACCAGTGGATGGACGATTTCTCTCTCTCTTTGTCCCTCTGTCCCTCCATAACTCTGCCTTTCAAATAAACAAAATAAATCTTAAAAAATCAGTTGTATGTCTTTTTTCCTTTAAGATCTATTTATTTATTTGAAAGGCAGAGTTACAGAGACGCTAGGAAAATAGAGGTGAGTGGGAACAGAGAAACAAACCAGAGTTAGATGGAAGGAATAAGTTTTGGTGTCCTATAGCACAGTAGGATAACTATAGTTTATAACAACTTGTTAAATATTTTATAAAGAACTGGAGAAAGCCAGCGCCGCAGCTCACTAGGCTAATCCTCCGCCTTGTGGCGCCGGCTCACCGGGTTCTAGTCCCGATCGGGGTGCCAGATTCTGTCCCGGCTGCCCCTCTTCCAGGCCAGCTCTCTGCTGTGCCAGGGAGTGCAGTGGAGGATGGCCCCAAGTACTTGGGCCCTGCACCCCATGGGAGACCAGGAGAAGTACCTGGCTCCTGCCATCGGATCAGCGCAGTGCGCCAGCCCGCAGTGCGCTGGCCGCGGCGGCCATTGGAGGGAGAACCAACGGCAAAGGAAGACCTTTCTCTCTGTCTCTCTTTCTCTCACTATCCACTCTGCCTGTCAAAAAAAAAAAAAAAAAAAAAAAAAAAAGAACTGGAGAAGAGGAGTTCTAGGATTCTAAACACAAAGGCACCATAAATGCCTGAGGAGAGAGGTTGGTGCTGTGGTGTAGCGGGTAAAGCCACCACCTACAGTGCCAACATCCCATATGGGTGCTGGTTCATGTCCTGGCTGCTCCACTTCCAATACAGCTCCTTGCAAATGTGTCTGGGAAAGCAGTGGAAGGATGGCCTGAGTCCCTGGGCCTCTGTTCCCATGTGTGAGATCCAGAAGAAGCTCCAGGCCTCTGGCTTTGGATTGCCTCAGCTCTGGCTGTTGTGGCCATTTGGGGAGTAAACCAGCAGTTGGAAAACCTCTCTTTCTGTCTCTCTCTCTGTAACTCTTTCAAGTAAATAAAATAAATCTTTTTTAAAAAGTCTGTGGAGATGGAAATGTTAATTAACCTGACCTGATCACTGCACATCATATACATGTATCACACTGCCACACAGTTCACCATAAACATGTCCTAGTATTATGTATCAATTAAAGATAAATTGTAAAAGAAAAAAATAAATATGATCAACTACATTAATACTTCCATCTATAGTTACTGGTACATGTTAGCTGTTCATAAGGTTCACATGAAAGATCTGTAGGTCCAATATTTAAAGATATCTATCTATAAGGTTTTCTTTTGAAGAATGAACTAGAACTTCATTACAAGAGTAACAACATCTGGGAATTTTTATCTTAAAATATCTGTTATTTCTACCTTCTCTGTGATCCAGCTATGACTGTAGGAAGAATAGCCTTATTTTATATTTTTTTCGAATCTCACCATTATCCTGGGCAACAGATGAACTGTCCAGGAAGGGATGCATCTTTCCTTCTGAAGGCTTGAAGTGAGAATGCTCAGTCATCTTGGTAATATCAGATTGGATGGCTGAAGCTGCAGGAAAAAAGACTGGAACTTTCAGGAAAAAACTGTATCCAACAATTCCAATATGCCAGAAGTAAAGTCAACATTCCAGGAAGTTCTTCCAAAACAAGGGCAGTTATCTATGGAAGATGTAATCACAATGGTGCTATTAGTTCAGGATAGGTAAACCCAAACTTCTGCCCTTAAAATCTTTGATTCTGGAAAAGCTAGAGAAAATGCAGCTAGCAGGATAGGATGTAATTTACCAACAAGAAATAGCAGAGAAAGAACAATGGCAAATAACACAGTAATAACTAATAATTTAGGGAATACTCACCCCAGGCTATCTGCTATTTAACAATAACTAGAAAATCTGGATCTGAATGCTAAAAGAAATATTTGTTGATAAACCTGATATTCATAGAAATACAAAAATGTTCAAGACTGAGGAAACCTGTATTGGTGAATTTAAACACTGGTTTATACTGAACAGTTAATGCTGAAGCAAATTTTATGTTTTTTTTTTTTTTTTTTTTTTTTTTTTTCACTTAAAGTATGGTTTTAAAATTGCAATCATTGGGCCGGCACTGTGGTGCAGTGGGTTAACGCCCTGGCCTAAAGTGCCAGCATCCCATGTGGGTGCCGGTTCTAGTCCCAGCTGCTCCTCTTCCAATCCAGCTCTTTGCTATGGCCTGGGAAAGCAGCAGAATATGGCCCAAAACTTCAGGCCCCTGCAACCACGTGGGAGACCCGGAAGAGGCTCCTGGCTTCGAATCAGCACAGCTCCAGCTGTTGTGGCCATCTGGGGAGTGAACCAGCAGACGGAAGATTTCTCTCTCTCTGCCTCTCCTCTCTGTGTAACTCTGACTTTCAAATAAATAAATAAACCTTTAAAAAAAATTACAACTCATAATTCACCATTCCTGTTGGCTATTGGTTTTATAAGGTACCATTCTTAGCACAAGTGACTAAATGCAACTTTTTTTATACAGAGGACAATCTCAGGGTTTTACATTACCTAAATTAAAGTATTTATGTTAGAAATTTAAGAGCTTTTTTTTTTTTTTTTAACTTTAACTTCTTTTATTTCTTTCAATTTATGCAATAATTTGTATATATGAAAAAACTCAAGCAAATTGAATAAAAAGCATTATCAATGATTTATAACAAATATTGCTGAAGTGATATCATCTATTAAATTAAACAATACAAGTTCTTATTATCTGAAACTGATATACATTTTATTTTTAAAAGATACTGTTCACATTAGGTCACCACAAAGCACATTTATATATAACCATCAATTGTAGAAAAACATAGGAGAGTGACTCTGTATCAGAGGTACTTTTCCTTGATCACAAGGAAGGAGTTTTAGAAGTTAAAGCCATTAAGTTTACAGAAATGCAAACTGCCAAAACATGTTAAACAGAAATTTTATTTTTTAAGAAAAAAGTATGTTTTTCATTTTCCATTCTTGGTATAAATTTCAATTCTTCCCAGTAGAACCAAAACCTCCTGCACCTCTTTCAGTGTCATCCAAAACTTGAACTTCTTCTATTTCTGGATAAAAAATCCGTTCACAAATGAGCTGTGCAATTCTGTCACCCTTTTTGACTTCAAACTTTTCTTTGCCAAAATTAAACAATACAACACCAACATTTCCTCTATAATCTTCATCTATAACACCAGCTCCCACATCTATGAAGTATTTTGCAGCCAAGCCAGAACGTGGAGCTATTCTTCCATAGCATCCAGAAGGAAGAGCTATCTGAATGTCCGTTTTCACAATGGCTTTCTCCATAGGTGGTACGGTATAATCATAAGCACTGTACAGGTCGTAGCCCGCGGCCCGCGCAGACCCCCGGGTCGGGGCCGTGGCGTGCTCCGAAAGGCGGGAAAAGCGCAGCCGCATGGTACCCTCCTCCGCAGCCCGGGCCCGCTTGCTGGGAGAGATGGCCGGTGCCTCTTCAGAGCAGGGCATGGCAGCGTGACGGCGCAAGCGATAGCAGAAGCGGGAAGTAAGAGCTTTTTTTTTAAAAAACAATTTTGTGCGCCACATCATGTTTATAGTATTTTGCCTGTTTATACAATTTTGCCTAACCAGGGTGAACAGTAATGATCTAAAGGTGATAAAACTGTTTCTTAAACAAATTTGACTCTTTCATTTTTTTAACTTTTATTTAATGAATATAAATTCCCAAAGTACAGCCATTTAAATGGCTCCCCCCCATAACTTCCCTCCCACCTACAACCCTCCCCTTTCCCGCTACCTCTCCCATTCCATTCATATCAAGATTCATTTTCAATTATCTTTATATACAGAAGATCAGTTTAGCATATATTAAGTGAAGATTTCAACAGTTCGCACCCACACAGACACACAAAGTGAAAAATACTGTTTGAGCACTAGTTATAGCATTAAATCACAATGTACAACACATTAAGGACAGAGATCCTACATGAGGAGTAAGTACACAGTGACTCCTGTTGTTCACTTAACAAATTGACACTCTTGTTTATGGCATCAGTAATCACCCTAGGCTCTTGTCATGAGCTGCTAAGGCTATGGAAGCCCCCTGAGTTCACTGACTCTGATCATATTTAGACAAGGCCATGGTCAAAGTGGAAGTTCTCTCCTCCCTTCAGAGAAAGGTACCTCCTTCTTTGATGACCCATTCTTTCCACTGGGATCTCATTCGCGGAGATCTTTCATTTAGGTGTGGTTTTTTTTTTTTTTTTTTTTTTTTTTTTTTTTTTTTTTTGCCACAGTGTCTTGGCTTTCCATGCCTGAAATAGTCTCATGGGCTTTTCAGCCGGATCCACATGCCTTAAGGGCTGATTCTGAGGCCAGAGTGCTGTTTAGGACATCTGCCATTCTATGAGTCTGCTGTGCATCCCACTTCCCATGTTGGATCGTTCTCTCCCTTTTTTATTCTATCAGTTAGTATTAGCAGACACTAGTCTTGTTTACGTGATCCCTTTGATACTTAATCCTATGAGATTCTTCTTTAGATTTCTTTGAACTTCTGCTTTGGTCTCTCTTTTTTTTTTTTAAAGATATTTTATTTATTTGAAAGACAGAGTTACAGAGAGAGGTAGAGCCAGAGAGAGAGGTTAGTCTTCCATTGCTCGTTCACTCCCCAAATAGCTGCGATGACCAAAGCTGAGTTGATCCAAAGGGAGGAGGAGCCAGGAGCTTCTTCCAGGTCTCCCACGTGGGTGCAGGAGCCCAAGGATTTGGGCCATCTTCTCTATTTTTAACTCCTTTCTCTTTCATAAGAATCAGTTTGGTATTTGGGTTTGTGACTATTACTATAGTGGCCATCCCTTTGTCAAGATTGGCTGCAACTTTGGTTCTGAGGTTGGTCTTTCTTTTCACTCTTTTGTTTTTCTCAACAGCTTTCCTCTTCTTCATGGTGACCAAATCCCATCTCCCTGCAGATATTCTGGTTAATATTTTTGACAGGCATGTAGTCTCACATTCTTTCTATTCAGATCTGTGCCAGGTTTTGTTCTTGTGTTTTCTACTTGTGTGTGAGTGACTTGACTTTCTCTTCTGCCTCCTCATCTAGTATCAGATTGAATTTTGCATCCTGTTTGGGTTCTACTTTATCTTTCAGAACCAAATTAGAGCAATTATCCTGTTCCTTTGCATACTCATTGAAATCACTCTTAGTGTATTTCCCACCTTTTCAAATTCAATAAAAGCATAACAAAGGGACTCCCCTGTCTTCCAATCTTGGATAACCTTACAACTTCTTATTGGCCCAAATCTTGAGAATATTATTTCCAGATCTTCATCTGTGGTCACTGTTACTGGAGAAATGCAGGGTTCTTGTCTTTGCGCAAGAAAGAATTCAGGGGTGAAACAGAGAGTAGTGGGAAGTAAAATAGCAAGGTTTATTAGGGAAGGGACATCCATAAGGATGGATGGGCACCTCTCCAGACAGAGCCTGAGAGAGTGCCCAGGTCGCTCGGACTAGGGGTGGGGAGGAAGGAGCGAGGTTACATGGTTGAGTAGAGAGATTACACCTGACCAGGCCAGGTGGGCAGCTCAGCAGAGAGGCAGAGGGCTGAGCACGCAGTCCAGTTGATGCCAGGGGTTTTTAAGGAGATGGGTCTTGCTTCCCCACCTCTGCTCCTCTTGGAACAAAGGGCTTTTTGGATGTAAATAGAAAAACTTCTATCTGAGTTCTCCCTTGAAGGTACATTTCCTCCTGAAACAAAGGACTTTATGGATGCAAATGTTAAGAAGCTCCTCACTGAGTTTTCCCTTGAAGGTATCAGCCAGGAGGAAGGGTGAGCAGGACCCCCTAGAGAATAGGGATCGGAGCAGGGTATTTGAAATGCAGATACTGGGCTTCATCTGGGAGATTGTGAAAGATTTGTCAGGCAGAAGGGGTGGGGACCCCCCACCTGGCAGGTTATCAGGTAGAAGGGGGCAGGGCAGGATGTGAATACCAGACTGCCCCTGAAACATTGCGAGGATGACTTTGAGATGCAGATGCATATGCTGGACATATGGCCTGCCACACACACATAAGCTCATATCTAACTTCTTACCTAACAGTCACTGGATTCAATTTCCAAACAAACAGCACATTTTCTGGAGGTTTAATATCTGTGTCATGTAGGTCTCCCACCATCTCTGGGAAGAATAGCTTGAGTTTTGGCCTCTTTTTCTTCATTCATTTCTTGTACTTCTTCAGCTGATCTTCCTTTAAAATCATCAGTTTCTGGGCCGGCGCCGCGGCTCACTAGGCTAATCTTCTGCCTTGCACTGGCACACCGGGTTTTAGTTCCGGTTGGGGCGCCAGATTCTGTCCCGGTTGCCCCTCTTCCAGTCCAGCTCTCTGCTGTGGCCAGGGAGTGCAGTGGAGGATGGCCCAAGTCCTTGGGCCCTGCACCCCTTGGGAGACCAGGATGAGTACCTGGCTCTTGTCATCGGATCAGCGCGGCGCGCTGGCCGCGGCGGCCATTGGAGGGTGAACCAACGGCAAAAGGTAGACCTTTTTCTCTGTCTCTCACTGTCCACTCTGCCTGTCAAAAAATAAAAAAAATAAAAAAAATAAAAAAAATCATTAATTTCTTAATCTGCTCCTATTTTGACCACTATCTAACTGTTCCTTTGTGGGTTCTGGTAATTGATCAGGAATAAATCAGGAGGGTCATCAAATGGATAATTTAAAAGCACTGAATGATTTATCCGGATGTCTGAATATGGTACAAAGTGCTTGTCAACAACGGCTTCATTAATTTTCTTAACTATGTCCATGCCTTCCGTCATTTTGCCAAACACTGTGTGAACACCAACAAGGTAATCTAGATTTTCTCCTGTAATAATAAGAAACGGAGATCCATGCTGATCACTGCCATTGTTCCCCATGAACACAGTTCTTTTCTTCTTGTGTTTAATTCTTGCACTTTTTCTACTTCAAAAAAAGCTTGCTTGATCACCATATAGTTGACCAAAAATAGACTCTTCTCCATGACCAGTGGCTGTATGATCACCAGTCTGTATGATAAAATCCCTCTGTACACTGCGATTAAGGAAATAATTATAATATTTTATTTTGCACAACTTCAAAAAATTCAAGCAGGCTGTTGGGGAATCTTGAATATTAGGTTTCAGTTGTGTTTCTTGCACGCACTTCTGGGCATGGCCGCTCCTTGTTGTACAGGTCAATGACAACATCGCCCTGGTGCTGGCTGAGAATAATTTTTTTTCTAACACTAATCATTTTGATAATCTAATTTAAGAATGATCAAGGGGCTAGCACTGTGGTGTAGCAGGTAAAGCCAGCACCTGCAGTGCCAGCATCCCATCTGGTCACCAATTCAAGTACTGGCTGCTCTACATCTGATCCAGCTCTCTGTTATGGCCTGGGAAAGCAGTAAAAGGTGGTCCAAGTCCTTGGACTCTTGCACCCACGTGGGAGACCTGGAAGAAGCTCCTAGCTCCTGACTTTGGATCAGCCCAGCTCCCACTGTTGGGGTCATTCAGGGAGTGAATCAGTGGGTGGAAGACCTCTCTCTCTCTCTGCAACTCTGCCTTTCAGGTAATAAATAAATAAATCTTTAGAAAAAAAAAATAATGATCAAAGCTACTTTGTATCTTACAGAAAGTTCATTAAGTGGCCGGCACCATGGCTTACCAGGCTAATCCTCTGCCTGTGGCGCTGGTACCCTGGGTTCTAGTCCGCGGCTCACCAGGCTAATCCTCTGCCTGTGGCACTAGTATCCCGGGTTCTAGTTCCAGTTGGGGCACCAGATTCTGTCCCGGTTGCTCCTCTTCCAGTCCAGCTCTCTGCTGTGGCCCGGGAAGGCAGTGGAGGATGGCCCAACTGCTTGGGCCCCTGCATCTGCATGGGAGACCAAGAAGAAGCACCTGGCTCCTGGCTTTAGATCGGTGTATTTCCAGCCGTAGTGGCCATTTGGGGGGTGAACCAATGGAAGGAAGACCTTTCTCTCTGTCTCTCTCTCTCATTGTCTAACTCTGCCTGTCAAAAAAAAATTTCATTAAGCTTTATATCAGTTCAGTAAACAAGGGAGTCAAGTATGCATACATTTCCCCTAGTATAATCTTAAAAGATTTATACTTTCAATTCAAAAGTTTACAAAGATTATTTTTTATAAAAGTTTGCTAGGAACACAGCTTAAAATCAGCAAATTCAAATGTGCTTCCTTACTTGATTTAAAATTTGTTGTGTGAAATTAAAAAGTTCTTAAAAAGACCTAAACTAAATGTACTCTCAAAAATATTTTTCTCTGAATTCTTGAGTTATTATTGAGGACAAATTAAAGATTTCAAGTTTTAATTATTAGGTAATATATAGGAATTTATCATACATACCCCACAGTGTTTCAAGTGTCTATATTTTTCAAAGGTAAGAAATTTTAAAACTAAGAAAAAAATTTTAAAAGTTTATTTTTAAAGATTTATTTATTTATTTAAAAGGCAGAGTTACAGAGAGGCAGAGGCAGAGGTAGAGAGAGACAGAAAGAGAGAGAGAGGTCTTCCATCTGTTGGTTC